CAGTTAATTTGGTGACAGATCTGAATTTCAATCTTGATTTTTATGCTTACTCTCTCTGTGATATGAGGCAAGTTTTTACCATGTCTGAGACCAGGCACAAATGGGCAAAATAAGGGTGGTATAGGAAATGTATACATGAAGGACTGACATAGTACCTGGCAAACGACAGGAATTTTTCAATATTTGTACCTGACAGCTTTATTCTCTTACCCAGATCTGTTGTTGTCTAGTGAATCAGTCGTTCTCTTTTAACCTTCTCCATCCAACATAAGTCTATTTGTCCAGATGTCCATACATTACCCATATCCCAACTAGATTACTGAAAACTTCTCTGATCTGACAGGATCTGCCAAACTGTTGGAGGGAACCATTTCCCTATTAAATTGATCACCCTTATAAATGAACAACCATCAGATTCTTCTAACTGCCAGGCAATTGGCCAGGATTCATTTGCATCTCTTTGGCTACTCTTTTCATTTTGGATAGTTTCCACCCTAACTTCAGACTCCTCCTCAGGCCCAGCAGATGATTTTATCACCTGAGTTAATTTGAGGAACCTGGGTTTCTTACATCTGCAATCTATATTTTCTATTTGCAGACGTTCCCAAACACCAGTGTCTGGCAAGTGTAAGCCTGGCTACTCCAGGAGGATGTGATCAATGCTAAAAAGTACAACAGTCAGGACTGACCTGAGTGTGAAAATCTTTAGCACCAGCGGTGGGGGATCTGGATTTGTTCAAAACTCCTGAGGTCATTTGGAATCCGAGCTAAACTGGGGAGACATCAGCTAGATGATTGTGAACGCCTCTTGCCCATAGCCTCTGATTGCTGTTTCACACTGTTCAATATTAATCTGGCTGCTCTTATTTCTTCTCAGCAGTTGAACGTGTAGGCTGCACGTTTCAGAGCTCCTCCATGAATTGTTGGACATCTGTCTTGCCTGTGGTCATCACACTTCATCTCTCCTTGCTGGAACTGTTAACACTGTCCCACTGGTGGCTTGCCAGGCTTGACAGGAGCAAAAACAGCTCCTTTACAGTGCTCTGGCTGTGCTCCAAAATTTCATTCATGGTCATTTTATTTGACCATTGAATGCAAACTATAGATCATAGATGACACTGGTGAAAGACTTCAAGAGGCCAGAAGTGTAATCTTAAGAAATGCAAGTCTCAGAGTTGTGTAACAGGTTGAGCATGAACAGTGTTCTGTAAAATTTTTAACTTACTTCTAAGTATGGTTGCCAGGGGGCACAACATTTAACATCCCAAAGGAAAAAAAAGGATGTTTAATCTTTTTAATATTTTCATCTATTGGTATGTAACATACATAATTTATAGAGAATTTCTGTGGCTCCAGTTAACCTTTCAGCAGTTCCTGAAAGCTTGAAATGTCACCAATAAAAGCAAACATTTCAGCGACAACAGTAAAATGATTGAAACCAAACATTAACAGATCAACAAACAAAAAAGAGTATATTGGTATGGTATTTTATACACTGTATATCTTATTTATATGTAAGTATATATTAAATATTAATATTATAAATAAGGAGAATTTATCTACTCAAATATATATTCCACACTAGAATCTCAGTGGAATTATAATATTTAATGGTGGATTCATGAAACTAGTAGATTAAGAAGAAATTAGAAAATGATAAAAAAATCAGAAAAGATTAGTTGTCTCAGTTCTGCCATTCTCTCTGGCCATGAGGAAATTACTGAGCAGTTTTAAGCCTTGGTTCCCTCATCTTTAAAATGTGCTTTCAGGAGACTGTTCAAAGGATTAAATGCAATAAATAGTAAATTATAATAGCTTATAAGTATTTTTATTGTTCTTGTTAAGGTCAAATCTCACTATAAAATTTTGAAGTATCTTCTAAACTTTCTAAGAAACAGCAGCACATGTAGCACTTCAGCTAGATCATAAGAATAAAGTCCACGTTTATCCATAGAAGGATTTTTGGAAGAATATCATTAGTAATCTCTTAAATCTTTTGATAAAAATGAGGTGCATTGTATTAATTTCATCTTTGGAAACTGGCAATTCATAGACACAGAGGCTTCATGTTTCTCTAATAACCAGAACATTTGTCAGATTTTGTTCTCAGTAGTGCCAGCTGTTTATTTTCTTTATTAAGTAAAGACCAGTTTTGATAGCTTTCCTAACATACTGGACATGTGAAATGTGAGTTTATGATCTCGTTTTGTTTGTGATAATCATGGTTTATGACAGCTACAAGTTCTGAGCTCTGGCACTGTAACAGACACAGTGCAAAGCATTTCACATGTTAACCAATTGCATCCTCTCAACCACGAGATAGCTGATGTTATCTTCATTTTACTGATGAGAAAGTGAAAGCACAGAAAATGCAAATAACCTTTCCTAAATTCATCCTTTGAGAGGCAGTCTGGAAGCTCGAGGCCAGGCAGTCTGATTCTAGAACCAAAACTATTACCCCTCAGCCAAGCCCGATCAATCGCTGACATAGCATAATCGGCTACATGTCTGTGAGGGGGTTCCCAGAATTCCGCCTCGCTGCACCGACTCCCGGGAGGCCGAATTGGCGATCTTGGGTGCCAACAGGAACCATTTAAGCCAAACTCTCTGGGGCTTTTGCTTTGGAAGCCCTTTCTAACCAGATATATCACAGCCGTGTGGAAATGATCTAGCCCACTTTTGTTTTCTCACATTGGAGAGTCAGAAATGTTAAAGAAAAATAGCCCATCGTAGAGAGTGTTTTACACATTTGCAGCAAGAATAATGTGTTGCTCCACATCAGTGTGGAGTAACAATGAGTAAAATTGATTTTTTAAATGCCACAGTTTTATATAGGTATTGCATGTGCAGTTTGTTTGCTGATTTTTTTTTTTTTTTACTTTCTTGTGCTTGTAAATACTGGTGAATAATTACAGGTTCACTTAAATTACTATTCAGACATCATGGAAATCCATACATTTGCTGAAACATATAATCAAAATTATGAAATGAATTAACTAAAGTGTTAGAAATTAGAAATTTGATATCATTTAGTTTATATGGCTGTTCCTCATTGTGAAACTCCAGGGATTCTCCGCCTTCTCCATACACATACAGTGAAAAAGCAAATCATGTCTTAAACTCTTTAGGTGCACAATTTATTTCTTTTCATTGTATTGTCATAGTCCTAAGAGAAATAACACTTTTTCTCACTTAAAATGAACTTTAAGTGAAAGTAAGGTCGAAGTTATCGGTACATATTAAGAAACACTTTCTTAGCCAGATGTGGTAGCTTACCCCTGTAATCCTGGCTACTCTAGAGGCTGAGACAGGAGGATTGCAAGTTACAATGCAGCTGGCAACATAGCAAGACCCTATCTCAAAATTTAACAAGTAAATAAATGAAAAGCACTGTAGATGTAGCCGTGGTCTTGCATGCATAAGGCTTTAGTTCAATCCCTAGTACCAAAAGGAAAGAGAAAGAGGAAGGGACATATTCTTGTGTTTTATATGCACAGTCATAGGCACATTAGCTTGTGCATGCATGCGCACATGCGTGCACACACACACACAAAGTAGCCCCTACATATGAATGGATTGATTTCATGGAGTTTATTTGGAAGAGGGCTTTTAAGCACCAGTAACAGCTTCCCACAGAGTGGCATTATGTTACTGTCCCAGTACAATAGGATATTTATCTCACAGTTCACACCACTTTAAATATTGCTTCTAGTAGATCTCTTTTCCCAAAGTCCTCTCTAGACACTAAAAACACAGTCAGTCCTCTGTACCACAAATCCTAGGAGACACTGCACTACCACATCCACAACTGTACTGTTTTCAGTGGCATACATCTACCAACCAGGACAGTCACCAAAACCAGTGATATCTCTGATGTAGGATAACTGTGTAGATGTTAAGAAACTATGCTTATATTTTCAAAATCATAAATACATTATTTTTTTTCCTGAATTTTCAAGTCCTGGACATTCAACAGGGTTTTTGTTAATGTTATAGAAATTAGTAAAGTGTGCATTAGGGGAGAAAAACATAAATTTTATTGGAAATAGAAGATGCTGACCACAAAGCATGTGCTGTTGAACTGTTCCCTCAAGTTACATTTGTTGAACTCATCATTTTCTGCCTGGTGGTATCACCACATGCTAGTGACTGAAAAGTACAATTTATAGTAAGCATTTTTCAAGAAGTCACAATTATTAGAATTAGAAACTTCTTTATATTCAGTCATCAGTGTGGAAACGAGGTAATAATTGCACTTTTGAAACCTGATATGTGAAATGTTGTTGAAAGATATGTTCTTTGTAAAGGGTAGCCATGTTTTTTTATAAATATGCTAACTTGCAAGTAATTATTTCTTGTCAGTGTCTTCTCTTTAATTGGGTTGGGCTGCTACAACAAATTATCATAGATGTGGGGAATAAATAATAGACACGGGAGAGTCCTAGATTTGAGGCTGAGAAGTTCATGACCCAGTACCAGCAGGTGCATTTCCTGAGAAGGTCTTCTTGGCTTGCAGATGTCTATCTTCTTGCTGAGAGCGCATAGTGGAGAATGAAAACTTTGGTCTTTGTCCCTCATCTTATAAGGACCTAGCCCCATCATGATGGTCTCTCCCTTGAGACCTCCTCTAAACCTAATTACCTCTGGAAGACCCCACTTATAGATACCTTTGCGTTGTGGGTAGAAGCTTCAATAAATGAATTTTGAAGGAATATGAATATTGAGTCCATAATAATTTCAAATGGAAAAATGTGCGTGAGTTTTTTCCGCATAATGTTCCTAACTTTTTGAACTTGTGATGCCTTGGAAAACCCAAGCATTCTCTAGTTATTTATAGTCCCCAACACTCCCTACCATTCTCCTATTTGCCAAACATGATAAATAGGAATGGTGTTGATTATCAAACTCCATGGTAGATACTTGTGACTCGGTATCTGAGACTAAATTCGCACTGTTTATCAAGAGTTTGATACTGAAATACTCTCTGAATTCTCTTTCAGGATGGAGAACCTAATAAGGGGAAGGAATCCCCCCCAATATCAGAGAAGTCCTTGTAAAGAAGTTCGTGCAGCACTTAGGAAGAGGCCTGAGGAGGAGTGTAAGTATGTTTAATAGGATTGATTGTGTTCTAGACAGATTTTGGTGAGTAGCATAGTGGAATGGAAGGGCTAACCTTTAAATATTTGCACAAAGAAGGAAGGTATTCAATATCTGTTTGTTGAGTTAGGTGATTTTTTTAACACAAATTACCTAACTTCCATGAGTGCAAGTGTTGAGCACATGGTTTGCCTAAGATATTCCTCTGTTACAGTAAGATGTGCCAGTGACATTTGGGTTTCCTGCTGCTGAGGCAAAGGCTGCATGGTCTACCAAATGAGCCTTGGATGCGTATACCATGCCTGTTAATTGTTCTGAGAAATCCTGAAGTAAAGAAGCTTTGTAAATGTATTTAAAATTAACGTTTTTCACTTTCCATTTGACCACAGTTATTTTTTAACATATTTTTAAAAAGTAAAAGGTTCTTTGAAAACAACTGTGTTCTAAAGAATAAATACCTAAAGGTAAATATAAACGTGTGCCAGACCAAAGCCTTTGATTTAATCAAATATAGGCCTAAGTTTTGAAAGATGGATGCCATGCACAAATGACACCATTAAGTCATTCTAGTCCAACCTCAAATTATTAAATATTAGAATGTTATTATCTGTAGAGATTTTATTTAAATATTTACAGTCTGTAGTGTATAGTAGATTTTTGGAGACTTTTGACATAATACTCACATTCTTGGTTTGTAAGATGACCCATAATATTAATTTTTCTCATGGTATTTAAATGTGATTATTTTTAGAGAACTAAATCACATTCCATTATGACAAAAATTTATCTGAATTTTGCCCTTTTATGGGAACTTGCAATTCTTAAGGACAAAGCTAATATAGTAGGTTCACTGAAGTATATATACTTCAGTAAGCTCTTAAAATTATATTGGCATTTTAAATTAGTTCTGAGTACACTGCTCTGGGTAAAGACCAAGGACATTATAGCAGGGGATACTTTTGACAAATAAAGTGTTTTTGTTTTGTCTTGTGTGTTATATAGTCAATAGATAACCTTACTGAGGTGACATTTATGCCATTCTATAGAATGTTAATCTTCTTTTAATTGGTAGATTTGTATTTTCTAATACAGACAATATCCAATTAAAACTAAAATTAGAAAATGAAGATGGATTTCATGGTTATCTAAAGCAAAAAGCATTTATAATATGACAATTGTTGCATCAAAGTTTCACTTTCTTTCACTGGGTTCTAGAGAGACTTTGGAGTATCTTTCTTTTGCTGGTTTAACCCAGTCAGTTAGGTTCTAGTATAGTTCTATAGATTTTTTTTAAGAAAACCTAGGAAGTATTTTTGTGACTGTATCTTCAGGTGATTCTCATAGAATTGCCATTTGGCATAAACACGGTGATCTTTCGGGTTTCTTGTACTGAGTTATGCGGGCCATCAGTTGACCAGCTGTTGTTTACTGATGAATTCGTCTGATATCTATTTCCATAAATAATATTTTATTGAAATATAGCTATCATCTATTAATTTAGGTATGGGGTAGAACTACTTTGACACTACACATCTTAAATAATTATAACCCTAGACCAGAGGGCCCACAGAGCCAAAATATTTCCTTGGATTTTATGGGGTGGATCTCTGGAGCAGCCTCCTCCAGACGGGCACTGGCCTCATCCCCAGAGAACTCATTACAAATGCAGCTTCCAGAGCTGCATTCCTACTGAGTGAAGCCTGTTAGGAGCAGGGCCCAGTAATCTGTATTTTAAGAAGCCCTACATGATTATGATGCAAGTTCAAGTTTGAAAACCACTAGCTTAAGTCAAGTGATTGGCTACAGATGACATAAATCATCTATACAGAATACTAATGATGATAGACATATTTCACTGCAAAGGCTTATTGTCTAATGTAAGCTGCATATATTAGGGTACCTAATATGTAACTGAAAAGCTAAGTAACACAACTGTTGCTTACATAATAAATCTTCAATTGAAATGAAAAGCTGTACAATTTTATTTTCCTCTGAAAGTCTTCATTCTCCCTTGCTAATATAATGAGAAGTGCTTCTTGTCCTCTGATGAAACAATATTAATTCCTGAGAAAAATCCACCAACGTTTTATAATAAATCCAGCATGTAATGCTACTTAAGACTATTGACTCAGAGATGCACAAAAGGTTTTAGTCTCTAATGTCTTAATGTGACCAACTACAGGATGCTGGGTATTATTTTTTCAAATCTACGACTTACCGGACACCCCTGCAGTTAGGTTCCAGTCCCCTTCCCAGTATTTGATGCAAGCCTGAGAAATAAAACTAAAAGACAAGATCTAGGAGAGAAAACGGGATGCCAGAAAGACCAGTGCCAGTACAGCCAACAAAGGCCCTGGCCAGTCCCAGGCACTGACTTTTATTGGCAATCTATTGGAGTAAAGGCGAGCCAAGTGCAGTTTCTATGGAAATTAATGTAAACAAGGCTCATAAAGGACAAGACAAAGCATTCTCGAATTAGGAACAGAATAGGCAAAATATATGATTGTAATTAGAACATTGCCCTTCCAGTCTGTAGGTTTTAGTTGTGGGAATGGAATTTGGATGCGAGTTACTCTGACCTAGGCACATAGGCTTTGGCCGGACTCACTTATATAAACAAGCTGATTGTGGGGTTAACTCTTCACAGCCTGCCTTGGGCATAATCAGTATTACAGTCCGCTGCATAACTTAGTTTATTTACCTAAGAAAAGAGGGTAATGATAGGTCCTAGCTTATATGACTGTCTTGAGAATTAAGGAAGATATGTATATAAGTTCTTGGTATAGAACCTGAGACATATAGAGCGAGTTTTCTTTTGTCTCCTTCTCTGTCTCCCTTTGCTTATTATTGTCATGTCAAAGTAATCTTTTATTTGACAATAATAAGGGATGATGTCTTTGATAGCAGAAATGAAAATCTATAAAAATTATCACCCCTATTTAGAGGAAAAATAATGCAAGGCAAGGTACAGGTTGTAAACAAGTGGCATAAAGCTGACCTTGCTGCAGTCTTGTATTGTAATTCATGGCATAGTTTATCTAACACATGGCATAGCTCTTCCCCTATGATTCTATGTATTCAATATAGAACCTAGCCCAAGACTTCTGCTCAACACCTGTGGAAAGCTGCCATTGTGGAAAATCATCATAGAAAGTCAAATAGTAGTGGCTTCCTTTAATTAAAATTGAAAGGAATAGTGGAGATGTGTTTACGTTGTAGGGTGCTCCAGATGAAAGGAGAACCCTCCCTCAACCTACCTCCACGTAGGAAGGTTTTGCTGAATAATAGTACAGTTTATACTGCTTTCTTTTATAACCTTATATAATCTTTTACAATATATTCAGTAGTAGGATCAGGCTTAGGTCTCTGGAAATAGCCCTTAGTTCACTATGTACTGTTAATTTTATGTGTCTGTGTTGCATCTCATATACCCAAGTAAACTTCCAGGACAAATAATTTGATCCTTATGAAAATCAGACTTTTAAACATACTTAAATTATTCATTATTAAAAATAAAAAACAAAATAAAATCTTGTCCTCAAAACCACAGCCCCACGCAGCTACAACTCTACATTTCTGTTTGAGTCCTAGGTAAATCTCTAGAAGAGACAACTGTGCTTGCCCACTGCATTTCCTTCCTTCCGACTCACTGAGTTACACTGCCCAACCCGCCTTCTACTTGAACAGTCTACTGAAGCATCATTCATTCATATCACCAGTAATCTCTTTATGGTACTCTAAAATTTTCTATCACTCTATAGCAAACCACAGTGAACTTCAGTGGTGTAGACCACCACCACTGATTGTCTCACGGTTTCTGTGAGCCAGGATTTCAGGCATGGAGTTGAGGCTCAGGTTCTCTGCTTCTGGGTCTCACCAGATTGGTGACCCATGGAAAACTCAAGTTGGGAAGAATCTGCTTGTAAATTCATGCAAGCTCTGGGCGGGATGTACTTCTTCTTAGCTATATGACATGCTGCCTTTCCTTTTTTGCTGACTACCAACTAGAGGCTAAACAGGCTGCTTCCTCTTCCTCTTTAGAGAGAACTCAGGCCCTCTTCTGAATACTCTCATCTAACTAAGCCAGAAGCACCCAAGATAATTTCAATTTGGATCAATTCAAAATCAACATGATTTGGGACTATACTGACAACTGTCACCTTTGCCACATTCTGTTGAGTAGAAGTGAGTCTTGCTGTGTACGTCCAAGGAGAGGGAATCCTACAGAGCTGAAATATGAGAGGTGCAGTGTTAATCATGGGGCCCTCTTAGGGTTCTGCCTACAGTTTACTAATCTCAGCAAGCATTTTTCCAGTGCTCTTCTTACTTGACTTCTTAGCAGGAAACAGTACTGTTGATTATTCCTCCTTCTGAAAACTTCCAGGGTCTGAATGCTTATAGTTCTCCAAAATGCATATGCTGAAACATAATTACCAATGTGATGATATTAGGAGGAAGGTCTTTGAGATGTACTTAAGTCATTAATTCAGAGCCTTAAAGAATGGAATTCTTATACGAGAGACCTCAGACAAGTCTCTATGACACTGTCTGTGAAATATAAATGGCCCTCACAAAAGTACCAAAATCATCTAGGACCTTGATCTTGGACTTCTCAGCTTCCAAAACTGTGAGAAGTAAATTTCTGTTGTTTATAAGCTACTGAATTTATGGTATTTTCTTACAGTAGCCTGAACACACAAAGACAGAAATTCTCTAATGGCTCAGTTAGCATAATACAATATTCTCCAGATTTCCTCCACTCTCTCTGATTATTCTTTCACATGTTCTACCTTCCCTTTCCATTACTTGCTAAAGTTCATGAAGGCAGTGTGAAGCCTTCTTTCCAAATATACACTTTCCACACACACTCTTATTTCGCACAGACTCAGTCATTCCTATAATTATATGACTCACAGATCAATAACTCCATTCTCTCTCCATTCAGCCAGATATGTACTTAACATATCCTCCAGGATGTTTCAACTGTGCCTCAAGCTCAAC